GATAAAATGACTGGTTAACTGTCTGACCAAGTGGAACAAACTCTGAATGATCTCCGAACTCACATCAAAAAAACAAATGCGCATTGTCTTAATGTTTGACGAGCTTTTTTAGGGTGAGGCGATGCTGGAGTCTTCCATTGGCTCGATTGTTGCTTGGTTTCAGGATCATATACATAGCACCATGATTTGTCACCTGTAATGACCTTGGAAAAGAAGTTTGGGTCATTTTGGAATTCTTCTTTCAAAGAAGTGCATGATTCCACACGGCCTTGTTTTTGCTGCTCAGTTAGCAGTCGAGGAACAAATTTTGCAGCCACCCGTCTCACCCCCAAATCTTCACTTAAAATTCTCTGTACTGAACTCCATGTCACACCAGATTTCTCCACTACTTCTTCGATGGTTTGCCATTGATCTTCCAGGATAATTTTTTGAATTTTTTCTACATTTTCGTTGGTTCGCGCCGTCGTAGGTTGTCCAGAGCAAGCTTGGTCGTCTATCGACATTTCACCACTTTTGAAACGGGAAAACCACTAAAATACTTGAGTTTTCCATAAAGCATCACCTTTGTAAGCTGTTTTTAATATCTCAAGGGTTTCTGTGCCTGTTTTCCCGAGCAGGAAGCAAAACTTGACGGTCGCGCGCTGTTCACGCAAATCAGTCATTACAAAAACGACGAGTACGAAAAATAACTTTTAAAAAAAATATCACACCAACATAACACAACCTTCCAGGATGACGGCCATTGGCATATTGAATGTTGAGAAGTATATTTATACACCCCTACTGGAAAAAAATCGGTACTACTTAAACTCTGTCCCACATAACAACAATTTGGTTTCATTTGGGTATGCCCTCGTATGTTATTGTAAAATAAAGATTTAATACCTATTATTAGAATCTTTACAATACCTACTCATCCAGATTTCAATATTGGACAATTCACATGATACTGCCGATGGTTCAATTAATACATTGATTTTATTAATTTCTACAACACTATTGTCTGACCTAAAAATAAATGTAATTATTAATAAGAGTTACAGATTGGTATTACCCAATTAAAAATTGTTTAAGGTTAAATTTACTACATACCATAATTTCAATGTTTGATTGTCCACAAAATGATACTGTTGTTAATTTGATAGTGTTAATCTATCATATTTTAGTCTGGCCCAAGGTTAGGATATTTAACATTTGCCTGACTTAAAATTAAATTAATAATGATTAAGGCATAGTTTTTTAATAACTCGCAAACATTCTTCATTTAACCAGTGAATATAGAGCATTAGTACTGCATCTTGATTGAAACTTTAAAAAATATTGATTGAGTGTTTCCAACAATATCATTATCTAAAAAATAAAAAATGTGTAAACCAACTATGGTTTGTATATATATTTTAATGGGGATTTTTAAATAATATTGTGAATTCACTAATATTATTAAATATAATAAATAAATATATAAATAAAAAATAAATAAACGAATGAATGTGTTGCCTGGAGTATTATAACAAGTGTATTATACAACCGGTTTCAAATTAAAAATTGATTATCAGGTATATAATAGTCAAATGTAAAACGCGACTGAATATAAAACATTTAATGAAAAAATACATAGACAAAAAAAATATACAAATTAGTCATTTTTTTTTTTAGGAGGGATTATTTAAAACTAGACATATGTATGTTAAGAAATATAAATTATTTGATTATTATTTATTATCTAAAATTTATTGATATAGATATTAATTTTAAAAAACGGTTTGAACATTTATGATTAAAATTAGTTTTCTTTTATTTCATTGTGTATGTGTAATTGTTCTAAAACTGAATTAATGTAAATGTTATTTTCAGTATTTAATACTATTAAGTCTGTATTAGTATACAAACTTATATTATGATTATTTTCTAAAACACGTTTAGCAAAATTGAAATTGGAGGCCATCTTTTTAAATTTTTTTTCAGAAATGTGTTCTTAAAATAAGATGTATTATTTTAAAATTTCTATTTGTCTTACCTATATAAAATTTATTACAGAGATTTGTTGTGACGTTTATAGTTCTATTGTTTATATGTTTGATTAAATTATTATTAGTCTTAAAAGCGATTTTTACATTATTTGCATTATTGTTTAGAATTTTAGCGAATTCTTGGAAATATTATTTTAATATTTCATACTATAATAGTTAACAACATTAATTAGTGAGTTGTGATTTTTCAAAATCTATATTTATAGGTAGTAACTATACCATATTTTTACAAAGATCAACAAGAAACTTAGAACTAAATAACTACTGAATGAAAATGTATTATATTTGTAACTGACTTACTAATTTTACAATAGGTTCTTTGGATATGTGGCCTTCTTACTGGTGATGGAAAGTGTGCCTGTTGTGTGTCGTCTTTTTTGAACAACTCTGGGATGATTATATATAATAATGGTTGGTTGAACACGATTTCAACAAATTAAAAAGTAAATCTGTATCTTCATAGATAAAAATAATTTTATATAATATACCAAACTGCGTGTGAACTCTAGATTCCAGTGAATAAGTTGACTGTGTCAAAAAAAAAACAAAAAAAAAAAAACCATCTTGCCTGTAAATATAAAACAACACATAAACGCGATGCAGTTGTCCGATAACTGTCAAGGGTAAGATGATATAATAAACTTAAGTTTACCATGGGAGATAAAGCTGCATTTGCGAAGGTCCATGAATTCGTGTTATCTACGGACAACGCTAGAAAAAGGTCGCCTGTGGTATACATTGTTATATACTTGGCTGTGAATAAATTATTCTTTTAGTTTAAATAATTAACAAAATAATACTACATTATTCAGTATTTTATTAATAGTTTAAATACTAATTAGATACAATAATATAGAAATTGTTATAAATATGTGTGTCACGTGTAACATGTTTACTTTACAAGATTCACATTGGTGGACAAAAAAAACCTTTAGATATGAAAGGTACAATAAAAATCAAAAACTGATAGCTTAACAACATATTTTGATAACAAGGTATTAAAAACAAAAATGGTTACGTGCATGTGAGTTGTGATATTTCCGATATTTACTAG